GGGGGGGGGGATGGGATGGGACAGAATCTCTCACCCACTTGAACTTCATATCTCACATACACATAACCCTGGTATTGTCAGATTTGTCACAGAAAACCACCCTTTGTGCATTTCATACTAAGAAAATGAGAGCATTTAACCAAAATAAAAGAAAACCACATCAATGACTGAATAGAACAGGACAGGCAGTGCCTGGAACATCCCTTTGATTTACAAACTTCCTTTTTTTATGACCATTGGAACTTCAGTGAGAGCTTTCCCTCATCCAATACAGTTCACACAAAGTAGAAAAATCACAGGTAGACTAGCTATTTCACTTGGAAAAAAAAGAGCAAACGTTTAAGAGACAGCAGAGGCAACAGTATTATCTAGACCTGCACGCATTCACAGTTTATCTTAGCTCAAAACAATTTCACTGGACTAACAGCATAAGGTTACAGGTCCCGACCTGCACTCGCTCAAACATGCTCAAGTCTTCCATCAGAGCACAAAATTCATAAAAAGAATTGCTCATCACAATTCGTAAAAGCTACCAGAGTCTATCATCTGGGTAGTTAGAAGCTTCTGACAGTTCCAGACCATCTCTCTTTGGGAAGGGAAATTGGATTTCCCCTAAGTATTGGAGTTCTTACAGTAAGCAGCCAGCTCACCATTTTTTTCAATAGTTTCCATTTACAGTAAAATTTTCAGCTTGGGCTTTGTTTTCATTGTTAAATGTTTTCAGAACTCTTTAGTTACACACTAAAGTTACGTACAGCAAAAGGCTTAGTTTTTTTCATCCACAGAACAGAAAGTACTAAAGATAACATGTCCTTCCAACATTTATTTATATATCTTTAATTTAAAACATATGCAAGTTCGAAACAGAGCCTAATGTAACAACTGCCAGAGAGTTCCAGGAGAAAGTATTAAAAATACTTCTGTGGTACTTACAGTAATTTGTCTCCTTCCTCCCCTTTTTGGTCATAGTCACTAGCCACTTAAGTTAGAATAAGCTCTAACCACCCTTACTCCTCTTTCGTTAGTCAAAATGTCTTTAAGAGGATCCTGTAGCTAAAAGCCAGAATTGATGGACTGCTATAGCTGTGAAAGATGCCTATATCTAAAAATATTTGAGAATCAAAAACCTTTAATAAGACCTAGATTACTTTGTTTCTCAAGGGGGAAGTAGGAATAAAACGAACCCCAGAAACTTCAAAACTTCCAGGTACGTAGCTGAAAACGTGACAGATTAGCGTGTCATTTAACTTAAAGCAGGCACTTTGGAACCAGGTGCAATCACATCCATGCACAGAGTTAACAAAGCAAAAAAAATTAAAAGCATCGTTTGCAGTGCAGGAACCGGCCTTCATGAGGAATAACACCAAGTGGCAAATGGGCACAGCACCGTTTTTGAGGGGTTATTTCCCAGCAGCCAGACAGCAAGAAGCAGTCACCTTTGAAAACTCTCTTTTACTACTTAAATAAATCCATGCTGATTAAACAAAAACTGTTCAGACAGCAGGCAGCAACCATCTACTTTCAGCAACAACTTAAATTTTCCCTTTCCAGCAGGAACATCACAGCTGGCTCATAGCATCTCGAGAAAAGAGCAAGAGGTAACTTAGTTCTCTTCTGTCTGACCCTATTCTTGTGCAACTGTCAGTCTGCAACGAGCAATGACACGAGGAGTTATTTGTCCTAAGTGTCCCACAGAGAACAATTCCAAGGCCTCTTCATACCCAGTGGTTAGACTCCACCAACAGGAAACAATCCTTGAAAAAGTCTCACCCAGCAAAGATGTATTCTGTCAAGCCAGCATAGATTTCTCAATTTTAGTAACCATAAAAAGAAGCTCAACATGTTCCAGTTACTGAATTTAGTCAGCAACAATAAACCTCAATCAAAAGGAACAGTGACCAATCAAAAAATCTAGTCTTCCTACAGAGAAAGGAAATTTCTCCACAGACAGAAACATGAAGATGCACATTCCATTTAACACACTAAGTGTAAAAAGAAATTGCTTGTCTACTGACAAAGCAAACACGCTAAGAATTCAGGTAACTGTCTTGGAAAGTGTAAGGACAGAGGGAGAAGAAAGATGAAGAGAAGATGCAGAACTATGAAATAAAAAAGCACCATAATGGACAGCAGACTTCTTGTTTTAGCAACTGTATCTACAAGAACAGATTTGAACAAAGACATTACCTTCATTAGCAAGACATGATTGAAAATATGAGAGTCACTGCAAGCTACAGTAAGAAAGCACAAGTCTGTTGTATGGTAACTAAGGACAACACTGCTCGTGTGGTACTGACAGAGGGAGACAATGCTCAGGAGTACATCCACGAGCATCATCTTTAAGCAACACAAGTATGTAAAATATATTTTCACGTGCTGGCTGTGAAGTGAGCACATTGTTATAGCTTCCAGCTTCCTTCATAAAGATAGCAGCCTAAATAATAATTGATAAAAGGGTTACAGTCACTTGCTAGCAGAACACAAGACCTTTTTACAGGAGGAAAGGGGTCATGCACTTCCCATTTAATAAAAAAAACAAGCCAAACACACAGACATTTCTTTCTCTGGAGTGAAATGCTCTCAATTCTTTCAGAATCTGGCCCATGCCAAGCCAACCACCTGGCCAGCTCTATGGCCTCTACATGCTACATAAAATAATAACCTACACAGTTACCTAGTTCAGCTTTCCTCATTAACACCAAAACTTTTATCTGGTATATTTCACTTCTTTTGAAACTACTAGAGAAGCAAGAGAGACAAAAGTCAAAGCTGATCTGCAACATACAAGCACTATGGGAAGAAATACACTTTAGAAGAGCAATGGACAAGTCGGGGGGGGGTTGTTTAATTATTTAAAATACATTAGGAGATATTTAGTCAATGTTCTGGCTGCCTATCTAATTAAAAATTACAGCAGAGACATGGACAGAAGAGCTACCTATAAATACATCCTACTCAGCAGTCTTGCAGAGAGGAAAATAATGGAGTTTGAAGCCTAGCAAAACGAGTGCCTTGAAATGCAAATAAAGGGAATACCTTAAAAAACCCCCCGAACAAAACAACAACAAAATAACCCAGACAAAACCAAGCAAAATCAGCCAAACAAAATTCCAACCTTTAAGCCACCCTAAAAACTCAGCTAATCTCAACTGTGGTGATACAAAATACATTTTGTGAAGCCAGTCCCAAACCATCTGGGGTTCTGTAAGCTGCAAGCTCTCAGTTCAGATGCTATCAGAAAACTTTTAGACATACGGAAGAATTTATTCATCACTTATCTTGTATTCTCCAACTGTAAAACTCTTCCTAACCGTATCACACCTGGCCATACTCGTATCAATTTTCAAATGCATCAAAATACAGGTAAAAAATCCAGTGTTACACAGAAGTCAAGGCACTTAGATGAGAGATTGATGCTGTAAAGCTGTTCACTCGCATGCAGGAGGCATGCTGATTTCTTATGGTGCTTCATAGAAAATGTCTTTTTCCTACACCATTTTCTTACTGCGGAGAAATCCACAGCACTGCAAGCTGATATGAGCAAGTAAAAGCATTACTCCCCAAATTTTTTTTTAGGCTGTCATATGTAACATCAACCTTAAAAGGTCAAGTAATGCAAGGACAGTAAACCTGGAAAAGGCATACAGAACAACCTGGGACACTGGAGCCCAAAGAGGCAGGATGCTCACCAGAGCTCTTCTGGCTCTTTGCCTTGCAAGCTAGAGCCAGAAGTCCCAGAGTTCTGGCCAGTTGTCAGGACTGACTTAATATTACCATGAAGCATTAGATTTCTTTCATCGTATTGATAAAGAAGTCTACGTAAAACTGCTGAGAAGCACTCCTTTGTTTCACTTCCCCTTTGGCTCTCTAGGTAGACATCAACATGGCAAAAACAGCAGCCAGGAGAGAAGTTACTTCCATATTTTTGCTTTGGGATTTGACATCATGGTGTTTACTGTCAGTGTCCATTCCCGTGAGACACACTGCTTTCTCCAATTGCAAAGAAAGGCTTTTGCCCTACAGAACAGGAAATGAAGTTTTATAATTTTTAAATGGGAAGCTAGTTACAAAAATAGGAAAGATGGCTTGCTGAAATGTTCGTTTTTACTCTTACTTTAAATAACTCATGTCAAACCCTCTCTGTCTAGCCACATCTAAGATTCCTTGCATCTAGGTATTAAGGTCCTTTCCAACCTCTGAAAAACAACATCATGCTCTTAAAAATGAAAAGCTTCTTGCTCTCTGAAGGATCCTCTTTACAAATGCTCTAGACAGGTGACAGCAACTCATTTTCAAATTCATTAAACCTTGCTCAACAAATGAGCCTTTTATTCTGCAAGATGCACACCAATATTCCCTAATAAAATCCAAACGGAAGTTTTTGCCATAAAAAATAATTCATCAACTTCATTTAATGACTCAAAGAATCTCAGCATTTTTGATAACTTACTTTGAAACTTCAGTTGCTGAACAGTAGCTTTTAAGTAAATTCAAGGATTTG